ACTCCGTACACACGTGTTAAAGGTCTAAATGTGATCATCGTAACTCCGTATCAGGACAGGGAACAGGAACAGCCAAGCAAACACTCCATGAACTTGAAGGTTAACTCACTGGAATGCTGTCTACACAGGACGCCCAATACACCTTTGCCTCAACATTCTGGGTAACTGATATTCCAGAGTCTCATATTCCAACCAACTTCTTCTCTATCCCCAGAAACCAGAGGCCATAAACTGGAGGCCAGATATAAAGCCTACTTACAGAAGTGTTCTCTTTGGCCCACACAGTATTATTTAAAAAAAAAAAAAAAAATCTACTCAGCTGCTGGTATTTAAAACTCGGTAAATTCCATGCAAAGTTGTAAACTTACAGCTTATCTTGAAAAAAAATCAGATGCGGCAGGACAGGGTCAGAGTTCTCTCTGGGAACCCCGATGTTGGTTCTGAGCCCCAGTGCCCAAACCCCGGACTTCTCAACAGGGCACAGGCCAAGGCCAATTTCACTCAGGCTGGCGCTGGCCTGGCCGCTGAAGGCATTTGAGCGTGCGACCCCTGCTGGAAAGCTACCAAAAAGCAGGCAATGTGGAGAAAAAAAAAAAGTAAAGAAAAGATGCCAACTGGGATCTATTTCCGTTATGTTCAAGCTATTCCTCGGAAGAATAATGTATTCATTTTTCTCGAACTCTGGTGGTACCACATAACTATTGACAAACTATGGCCCAGTAAATATTATTCTAACGGCCTGAAAAAGCTATGAGCTTAATTCCCTGTGGGTAGAGGAAGCTGAGAAAGCTGCATGCCGGAGGCAGACCTGAAGAAGGATCTTGAGAGGCTGCACATGAGCTGGTTACAGTTCCGGATAACTATGAGAAAAAAAGGAGCCTCCCTGAAGGCTGAGGGTTACCTCTGGCATGGATGAGAAGCTGCAAAGCCGGGCGTGGAAAAAGAGCCAGGAAGGACACCTGGGTGCCAGGGAACATGTCAGGGTCATGCCATGGGAATGGCACCTCTGGGAAACCCTGAAATCTCATGCTGCTGCTGACGCCACTTGATTCATGACTTAGCTGTCCTGACGTCCCTTAGCTAGTCCCTCAAGATGCCGGGTCGCAGGTGCGATCGTCCAACCGAGCCTCAGTTCGGGGCCCAGAGAGAAGGACATGGAGAGAGAGTCCTGCCTCCCGCTGAAAAGTTCCTCCAGGGACACCTTCCAAAATGCAGCATTCCACCGTGGATTGGGGAGGACTTTCAGTGGTGAGGGAGGGATGGGCCAATGCGATCTGTGCGGCAGCACACAGCACAGAATGAGAACAGACAGACCCGAACTCCCAATCTGGAATCCTCTGTACTCTCAGAAACCAGTTAACTTTTCTTCTGATCTACACATTCCAAATCTTTAAAATAGAAATCATGCCATCTGTGCACAACACAGGGTTGCTATGAAGATTCCGTTCAATCGTTCATTCAAAACTACTTGTCGAGCATTTATTAAGTGACCAGGCACTTAACTAGGTCCTGGGCACAAATCTGGAACACCGGCCATGCGACAGAGAGCCGCCGCTCTATGCTGATGACAGACTGAGACAAGGGAGACCCAGCTCAGGTCCTGAAACTGACCATGTATTCCTCTTCCCTAACTGATACACTCATCTACAACCTCCCTCCTTTTCCGATTAATCAATTTCGGGGCCCTTCCTTCAAATATATATGCATATATGTATATATATAATTTAGGATATAAAATCCATTAAGTTAAAAAGAAAAAAAACTCTAAAAAATTTAACTCTGATCCCTCAAAGAAGAAACTAACAGTTCTGAGGAGCAGGGAGGCTTGGTGCTGATGGATTTTCGGTGATCACAAAGAGATTCAGCCCATTATATGAAATCTTCTCCCCCATTTAACATTTAGCATATGTAATTCACACAGACATTCACAAATTGTAATTAACATGAAAACAGACCAAATGGAATTTGCAGGAAACGCATGTTAAGTAGCCCTGAACATTTTTCACCCGTGTTTTAGAATTTGCCAAATGCTTTTTCACATACGTTTTCTCACATTCTCATAATGATCTTTCAGTCTCTATTTTTCAGAGGAAGAATTCAAGGCTCAGAGGGAAAGCTAATTTGCTTAGGGCCTGGGGGCAAGAACCGCTTCCAAATCCAGCTAGCAGGCTCACCACTCTTCCCACTTGGAAAAGGGCAGCTTCACTAAAAAGCACTGGGTCATTGGTGTTGTTGAAAGAAGATACACCAAAGTCATGGAGAACAACCCGGTCTTTTCCAAAGCCCGCTGAAAAGTTACTGCATTTCCTACATACCAGATAGAGCATTACTACTCTCCAGCGCTGCCTACACCCCTCCAAGACGGAATCCTGGCTTAGAGACATGTCACAGAACCTGCCTGAGCCCTGACCCTGGGTACAGGCTCACCTCCATCAGGATATCAACACACTGTAGTGTCCCTCTGTCCAACCTCTAGGCTCAACAGAGAGAACAGGACTCAGTACTCACAATAGGTATGTGTTACCCTGGGTAGATGTCCTGGCAGGGGAAAGGAAGTGCACACAGATCATCAAGCAACTCTACACCACCCAGTCCATACTGCCAGCCCCTTCTGGTCACCATCAGACGGTAATTCAAGGTAAGAAAAGCTTCCACATTGCTTTTCCCTTCAAAGAGCTCTCTCGGGGCTTTTCCAGTAAGGGAACTTCTTTTGACAACAAAAGCAGAAGGCTCAACTGTATTGTGGGGTCCAAGCAAAGGGTTCCTAAACATCTACCCAGGGCAAAGCACCGCTTTGGACTGGAGGATTTGTGGCTTCATACTAGGGGTATCAACAGCAGAGCTAAGAGCCCTGAGATTTTCCTGATCCCATCTGCAAGTTCAAGGTACCACTTTCTCACGGGCTCCCCCCCCCCTTAAAAAAAATCTCCCATTTTAAAGTTACAGTGCTTCATACACCAGGCACCTTCGGCCAATCCTCACTCAATGCTGCTGTCCTAATTAGCTGCAAGGACTTAGGAGTGCTTAGTCACGAAGTTGTGGATCCCTGATGTCCATCAAACTGGGATGAGAGTTAGAGGGACCCAGTGGAGCCCAGAAAGGCTCGTTAAGATGTGGATCTTTCTCTTCCCAGCTCTGGAGAAAACCTTATGTAACACAATGGTCCATTTGAACATGTTGCAATCATATGGAAGTAAAAGGAAGTGAGCCCTGGAAGTACAAAGAATAACGCGAGGATTTGCCCCTGAAGCGTCCATCTCCTGAAATTTCACGAGGTCAGGCTTTTCTAGTTGCACCCGATCTTTAAGGAACACGCTGAAAACCAGAATATTTCCAAATGCCAAAGGACGGGCTTTAGAAATCCAGGGACGCAAAAGTTACCTTATGTCCCTTCCTCCCCCACCCGTTTTAAAAACGGAATTCTTGGAATTAACCCTTGAGTGGAAGTTGGTAACTGCATTTCAATACAATTAGGCGAGATTTGGTTGCAAAGCGATAAAGCTAGAGTTGGGGCCCAAAGGATGCTGCGTGCGCACGGGCTGCAGCCACAAAGCCGGCCAAACGACGGCGCCCTGACGCAAGGGACTCCTCCCGGGACCCGCTCCCCCGGCGAGCGGCGGGCGGCGGGCAGCGCAGCAGACCCGGTGGTGCCCGGGTTTCGAGAGCTCTGGCTTCTGGAGGAGGCGGATACTCTCCATCCTCAGGCCCTGGAACGTTCCTCGCGGCTGCTCCCTGGCAGCAGGGTACCGCTTCTGGGAGCGCAGTGCGAAGAGAATGGATTCGGAGTCGCCTCCCCAGAATCCCCCCAGAAGCACCTTCCTGCAAGTAGTGGATAAAAATAGCCGGCGGATAACGCTGGGGGAGGAGCGAGACGCGAGCCAGGCGAGGCGAGGCGAGGCGAGGCTACGTCTGGTCCTGCACAGTGGAGGGCGGAGGAGGGATGTAACCCAGCTCCCGGGAGAGGCGCCTGGGTGCACGGAGAAGCTCGGACGTCCGCCAGCGGAGGGGGTGAAATAGAAGACGCACCGCTCCGGCAAACACCCGCGGAGCCAAGCGCACCCCACACCCGGCGCCCTGCGATCTCGCGCCGGCTTCTCTACCCTATGCCCGGCTCTGGAAGCCGGCCCTCCGGCTCCTGGGACAGGCTGGGGCCAGAAGGGGGAGCAGCGCGCAGTCCGCCGGCTGGCTCAGGGAGCGCACCTGGAGACGGCAGGTTTGCCGAGTTGTGCCCCCGGTTCCGAGAAGGGGGTCTGTGCGCTCCTACCGCGGGTAGGCGCCCCGCCTCGCCCCCCCCCCCATCTGCCGCCACCACCCAAGGTGCTCGAAATAGAAACAGAAGCAGGAAAAAAAAAAAAAAAAAAAGGTAAAAAGTACTATGAAAAAGCAGGACGGTGTAGAATTGGCATTCCGGAAAGAGGTTACCTAGTGTCCATCGCCTTAATCTCTCTCGGCCGGAACATCCCCGCCCCTCGGGACATGTCCCATGTCTCCTCCACTCCAACCAAATGCACGGGCAAGCCAGACCTAGGTTCCCCCACCCGGGGTGCTCTCTCCACCAACTGACTTTTGCTGACTGTTTCGCTGCCCCAGTTCCCAGCCCGAGTGGTACCCGGGCTTGGCTGCGCGCTGCGGGGCGGCCGCCCGGCGCGGTCCCAGGGAGATGCGGTGGACCGGAGCTAGCCTCCGGACTGCTGGGGGAGGACCCGATCCACAAAGTCAAAAACCCGAAAACCTGTCCATAAGAAAAAGAAGAAGAAAAAAAAAAAAAGTCCCTCGGGATTTTGCAGAGCTGAGAGGGCAAGGTAGGAGGTGAGATGGGGGAAACCCCGGATCTCTCCTTCCTTGTTCCGCTTACATCCACTCCACTTGCTCCAGCCTTGACTCACCTTGGACTCCGAGCTCTCCCGAAATGCGGGACTCCAGGTGAGGGCACCCCGACGGCCCCAAGTCTTGCCACCCCCCAGCCTGGGAGGCCCCCGCCGCAAGCGCGCGGCACTCACCTGAGCTGCGCCGCGGTCCAGCCGGTCCGGCGCCCGAAGTCGGCTCTCGGGCTGTGCCATGGGCAGCGCCGCGGAGCACCGGCGGCGGGCGAGGCGAGCCGGGGGTGAGGGGGGCGCCTCGGGGCACGCGGGCGAGGCTGGGGCGCAGGCACCCACGGAGATCCAGCAGAGACGGCGGCTGGCAGCTGCCGGCGCGCTGGGGACTTTGCAGGCTGGAGGCTCGGCGATCAGCCCCGCGGAGGGGAGGAGCGGGAGGAGGAGCAGCAGCAGGAGGAGGGGACCGAGGAGGCCGGGCCCTGGGGGAGAGCGCATTGGGCAGAGGAGGATCGCGAGCGCCCACTGCTGCCCGGCCCGCCCCGGTGCTGCCCCGAGGCCCCGAGTCGGGGCCGCTCGGAGCGCCCGCTCGGGGTATCGGACACGTGGATCAGGCCCCGCGGCGCGGCGGCTCCTCGGGTTTCAGCCCAGGGGGAGGGGACCCGCGCGGCCGGGAGGGTGTGGTCAGCTGCGGATTGGGTGACGCTGCCTTCTCCGCAAACCTGGACGTCCCGTCCACTCCGCTCCCCAGCTAGGGAAGGCTAGGTCCCAGCTCGAGCCCACCCCTTCCGGCACCCTCCAGCCCCGCGCGCCTTCGGGATCGGCGCCCCCAGTTTCCTTCCCGGCAGGTGACCCACCTTCCCACCTTGGGCGCCCGCGCTTCTCGCGCCGCCCTGAAGGCAGAGGGGGCCGCCCTCCCCTGGAGCTCGCACCGCCTACCGGCCGGGACGCCAACTACCAGGGAGCCCGAGCCGGAGCCCGCATCCGCGCGGGGAGCCCGCTCCGTTGCGCTTGGGGTCGCCGTGGAGCGCGCCTTCGCCCTTCGGTTTCGCGTCCGGGAGTGGATGCGGGTTTCGCGGGAGAGCGCCGAGAATTCACCTCTGCTTTCGCTAGCACCCTAGGGTTGCAAACGTCTGCTCGGAGATCAAGCCGGGATTCTCCGTCCCCTCCCCAGATCCGGTCGCTGGGGGCTTTGCGTCAACTCCACCAGCAAGCATCCCAGTAGTTCGACTTCAGATTTAAGATTTCGAGGGTGGTGGAGCTGGATTCCCCGTAGCGAGGCTGGGACTGCCCCGCTTACCTGAGCCAAAGTAGGCTGCCCTCAGAGACGGGTCAGCAAACGCGTTGGCAAGAAGGAAGGAAGGAGAAAAGAAACATGCCAACCGCACCTCCAAGTAATTAATTCTCAGTGAGATTTCAGTAGATCTTCCATCTCTTAAATATTGGAAGATAACCATTTGGAAGAATTCGACTTTGTCATTTAAGTTTTTAAAAGTCTTTCCTTAATTTTGCTTAGTTTAGAAATACTTGCCCATTTAAGGAACGATTGCCGTGAGAAATTGACCCACTTATTCATGTAAGGTTACCTAATGCCCCTTTAGAAACCGAAGCGATGGACAGCATTTTCGAGCTATCTGATAAAGCCAGTAACATCTGGGAGGCCAAGACGGAGACTTGTTTTGGAAAACAAGCTTTTGGGGGTTTTAGTGACCCTGGCTATTTCCCTGAGCCAGACTAATGTTGATATAGGTATTTTAGGTAATACATGAATGAATGAATATATATATATATATATGAATTTTAAGTCATTTTAAAGCCCTACTTTGAAAAGCCTCAGCATTTAAATTTACATTAGCTTTAAAGGACCTGCTTCACCCTCCACCCCACCCACTCCCCCATTCTATGAAGCTGTGTAAAATCATATATGAGGTCATTCAGGTCAAATGGTAGCCTGAGATAAACCCTTGCCAATTACTGGTATCCTTCCTTCGGCTCCTACCAGCAGCTAAAGCCCCGGGCAGATCAGAGGTTCTTCAAAATAATCTATGTTTGTATGATTACCTTTCCTTGTGAGTTCAAAGTGCTTTTGTGCATAGTTGGGAATCTCACCTCTCGTTTGCAAGATGCGGAGGGAGGCTGAGTGTGATTCCATGCAGCACCCTGGGAGCCACAGGCAGGTTCACTGATCACCTTAGTTCCCCACTTTAAGTCCTGAAAAGGAACAAGAACCTTAGACCCCAGCCCTGAGTCTCTGCTAGAAGCTTCACTTCTTGCAGGAAGCAACTCCAAGTAATTCTGACAAGTGACAATAATTTGAGGACTAACGGTTAAGGGTCTGACTTCCGCTCAGGTCAGGATCGCTGGTTCGCAAGTTCGAGCCCCGCGTCGGGCTCTGTGCTGACAGTCCGGAGCCTGGAGCCTGCTTCAGATTCTGTGTCTCCCTCTCTCTGCCCCTCCCCTGCTTGCACTCTGTCTCTCTCTCTCATAAATAAATAAAACATAAAAAATAAAGGAGTTTGAGGACTGAATTTTTAGCTTCTCTTATTTTTTTTTTTTAACTTCAGCCAATGTGCATTACAAATGATCAACATTCTCCCGTTCAGATAAATAAGAATGTATTAACTGGCCTTTTTGTTCTTTGTTAGCTTTTGGTCTCTGCCAAGACATCTGTCATTTCTCTTAAACAGCCTGTCTGACCTCTTCTGGGCATGAGTTAGGTTTCCTAACTAGGCATTTATGTATCACCGGAACTCAGCTCAGTTTTAAGAACACAAATATTGTACTGAAGATATCTGCGTAGAGATTTGTCTTCCCCACTAGATTAGAAACGCTTTGAGTTGTGGGGACCATTATGGGAATCATAGAGAACTCTGTGTTCTTGCCCCAGAACCATGCCTGAGCCAGGGAGGGGCAGAGAGAGGGAGAGGGAATCCCAAGCAGGATCCATGCTGTCAGCCTAGAGTCTGAAGCCAAGCACGATCTCATGAACCCGGAGATCATGACCTGAGCCGAAATCAAGAGTGGGACGCTTAACCGACTAAGCCACCCAGGTACCCCATGAAATTTAATTTTTAATTGTTAGTTAATTAATTTAGAAGGCTAGGTCCCACAAAAGTCAAAGTTATAATTCAACCCTGTAACCACACATGCTGAGAATAAATTTGGTGTCATAAGGGATAAAAGTCTGGTTTTCAGAAAAGCATAAAATAATCTGTTAATCATAGATGAGTGGATTGTTTCTGAAGACAAACATAAAGTTGAGAGTTGGACATGCTGGTTGGGGGAGGTGCACGATGGATGGGGGGAGTTGGAAGGAACTGTCATCCTACATTTTTTCTGGATATGACCCTCATTTTCTCTCTCTAGAGCCAACTGCTCTAGCTAATTAGCAAATCAAAAGAAACGGAAACAATCCTAGACCTGAGCATAATCAAATTAGCAGAGTTATTTGAGGATACCATTTTCACACAGTGTAATCATGCTCTCTTTGTTTCGGTCAAATGAGCGAAAATCATCTTTCAGACTCAATGCCCTCCCCTCTGCCCACCCAGCTCTCTGGATGGTGGCACTGCCTATCTGTTCTCATCAGTTTTACATACGATCTTTTCCACAAAGACAGGAATGCATGAGGGACAATTAGACAGTATCCATCAAGCCTCCCGTACAACAAGGACCTTTAAAAATATATCTGACTTTTCAGGTGATTCAGCAGTAAGAGCCATTAGTGCACCATCTAAATCAGGACTTGGAAAGTTTATTAAAATTGGATTTTTAACCTGATCCCAATTTCCTCTGCTTATAAAGAATCCCATTGGACTCCTTAATATTCATGCTATTAACCTGAAAGATTCAAGCTGTCATTAAAGAAGGAAAGACTATATAGGGTAGGTAGCCCCACGGGCTGGAGTTATAGATAAAATCACAGTGAGCCCAGGTAATGGATCCTAAACATCTTCAGGAGAAGTAAGCTCTCTCTTTTTCTCTCTCCTCTTCTCACCTTCTCCCAGACTCCCTCTTCCATGACACATTAGGGGGAATGAAAGCAAACCATGAAGAAAAACAAACATAACCAAACCATGTAATTACAGAGAGCACTGGAAGAGGAGTCTCGGTCTTCCCAGAAGGGTAGCTGCCTCAAAGAAATCACCTCTACCTCGGGTGCCCTAAATACTCCCACTCACTCATGTCGTGACTTTAAACTTGTGTGCCTTTGTCTCTGTCAAATGAGGAAGTCATAGTTTCTAAGACAGTTGGTCTAAGGACAAAATGTACACATGCAGTAATTCATTTTGCACAGTACCTGGAGTAAAAGCCTTGAATGAATCCCAGCCAGTATGATTACTGATTGTTGGTTGAATTCCTAGCTCATTTATTTTTATTTCCATTTTTCTTCCTTCACCTTCTGCAGAATAATTTATCTTCTTTCTCTTCTGCAGAACATAGTTTACAACTTAACTGATGCCAGTGAGTTTCGGTGAAGATGGGTTGTGGGGGTCAGTCTGGTTTTGCCTTGAGATAAGATTTTTTGCTCCCTTGGGGGCAGTGGTGGTGCCTTCCCTCTCCACTTCTTGCTGAGTACCTGGCATAGTGTTGAACCCATATGAGGTGCTCAACAGAGCCTCTTGTATCTTAGGATATTAGCAGCTTACAGATCATCTATTTAGATGATTTTTCCAGTTGATGACACGGAGCTGACTGCTCAAAGCCTGGAGCCTGCTTCAGATTCTGTGTCTTCCTCTCTCTCTGCCCCTCCCCCACTCATGTTCTGTCTCTTCTCTCTCAAAAATAAATAAATATTAAAAATAAATTTAAAAAACATTTTTTAGAGACCCTGAAAGTATCTTGGGCTCCTATGACTTCTAATGAAGAGGTTAGCCCTGTGTAGACGGCGACAGTGCAGAGACTAATGCTGAATTGATTCAGGTAAAGTATGTATGATAAGTGCAATGTCATGCACATATCTTACAGTCCATTTGTTGTGTTGGATAAACGACTCCAGACAACACATTGCGTTTATTTCTGGTCCTGTGTCCAACTTTGCCCCAAATCACACACATCAGTGCTGCAAAAATTACAATATAGCAGGCCTGATGTGGCCCCTTGTTCTTATTATCCAGACCCTGCCGCGTGCTAGCATGACTTTGGGGCAGCAAGAAATTGAGGCACTCCCTTTGATTTTAGGTTTGCAGGGGCCAAATTTGACTGATGCTTTGATGAGCAGATCTTTGCTGATTTTCCCTTTTGGGCCTTGTTCAATGATACTGGAAAGTTCAACTCTGGGAAAAATAAATAAATAAACAAACAAATAAATAGACAACTATCTTTCCCTTT